GTACTCATACTAGTACTTTTTAAGTTAAACAAGGTTGTTATATAGTATTAAAATGATTTGGTATATAAATAAGTAAAGTAAATGAGGTTTAGAAACTCAAACTTACAGGTATGTAGCAAAAGTCTTTGTCATTCCTTAAAAGGTAGATGTATTTGTAAGTGATTTGCATGCCATACATAGAAATTAGATGTAGATCAATGCTTTGATCGACACATTGTGAAGTACAAAAAAATACAGAATTTTGCATTAATTTCACAAAATGGCTTGTATTTTCATGTTTTTTTGTGTGTATATGTGTTCATGTATGCTAGAAATGTAAGACAAAGGTTTGATGTGTCTCTTACAGCCTTATAAGTCAATGCAAATCACTTACAGATACACTTACCTTTTGAGGAATGACGAAGACTTTTGCTACATACCTGTAGTATTTAATTAGAGAATATGCTTAGTAATACCGTATACTCGTATACGGCGTATACGGAAATTTTTTACTCATGGTATACGCATACGTGCGTAAATATACGCCCGTATTTTCAGCTAAAATTTTCTCTTACAATACGGTGTGTAAGCGTATACACTGCAGGCGTATCCGTAAATTACGCTACGGTGCAGAGCACTAATTACTCTTGACAGTGCAATGATTTATTAGTAGGCATGACATCGAGACAGAGAGAAAAGACATACGAGTCGGGATTTGGTGTTTCTGAAGGTGTACTAATCCCTGAACAGTTCAGCGTCATGGAGAAAATATGCAGGAAGCTTACCACTGAGCCGCAGCAGAAGTCATAGTGTCTAATAGTCATTGTGGCCTAAGATGTGGCTCAAAGAGTTTTCTAGACGTCAAACTGTGAAAGTAAAACTTCGGCGCATTCCGATAATTCACGTGATGGCACAATATCCCGACAGACAGGACCTTTTTAGATAAATGATATACTTAGTGTAAAGTGTTTGAAAACAGTAAGTATGAACAGTATTTTATAGTTATAGACGAAAATGTGGGTTGTACGTTTACTCTTAAAGTTGAAGATTCACAAAATGCAGGAATGTGGCAAGCAAAGCCAGCAAGAGTGCTAAAAAAGATGCCTGCATTAAAAACCTGACATATTTAAACAAGAAATCTTACCCCTAAGCCCGAAGAACTAAATGAAGAAATAATAAATCAGACACACTCTGTACAGTATAATGTATAGTGATATAATTGATTAAATTCGTTTAGTACATTACACAAGCTATGCTGTGTAAGGCCCTGCTTGGTACAACCAGTCACTAGTGCCTGCCAAATTCACAACCACTGGTTACACAACCAGTGGTTGCAAACCATCAACCATCAGACGTGCTCGGCTGCACGTCTGGTTTCATAGTTGTGTAACACTACTTGTCCCTTACTACAGACTCTTGACTTTTTGCATCCAGGCCCTGAATCCCACAGCCCAATTAGGGATGACCCTGAGTAACCACTTATATAATTCTAGCATACTGTGGCCCTTGTCATGAACAGAGTGAGAAGTTAGGAGGGGGGTTTAGGGGGGCTCTGCCACCCCAATTAGGTTTAGGATAAGTTTGGGCTGTTAGGCTTAGGTGTTAAGTTGGGTTTTAGTTAGGATTGGGGGAGGGGAATATTTATTTTCTTAGGAAAAGTACTTTATTTTGACTTAGTGAAATGTGAGAAGAACTACATGTGGCCAATTGGAGCTAACTAAAAATGGGCTGTGGGACTCAGAGCCTAGATGCAAAAAGTACACAACTCTTACTACACTTGTTACACTATACCCTCTACATTTCCTTGTTACTACTTCTCTCTTGTATTGTATTCCCCACTTGTATTCTACTAGCAATTTAATAATCCAAGCTTTGAATGTCCAAACCAACTATAATAATATAATATATCTGTCATATATGCCTAATTATATGTGCATATATGTACCTAAAGTCCTAACTTATGTTTCTATTTATTTATTTGTGTCTCAATTATATCTACACTGTGTAGTACTTATGTTAGGACACATAATTATATACTAATTTGAAAGGATAAATGATGAAAGATGAAGGGAAAGTAATGAGTCTATACACTATACTACTTGTGACCAAAGTGACAAGGTTGGCACTGGTGGTTGACGGTTGTACCGGAAATTGCTGGCCATCAACCACCAACCTGCGGTTGTGCGACCAGTGCAACCGAGCAGGGCCTAACTATTTCCACTCATTGTAAATGTATTGTATGTGGACTTTTCAAGTCCAATGCGGGGTTGACCTGTCTTCGCACTGAACTCGTCCGGATGACCAAGTGGGGAAACCATGCTGTCCGCTAATCCATTGCCCAACTCTTCGTTACTATCGACGGCGGCAACATTCTCGTTAGGATGGGACTCATCACATTCCATTTCGTCGCTCGTGTCAGCAGACGAAACCGCATCTACAGATGCTGCCACGTCCTCACCCATGGTATATTCTATCAAGTCCGAATCCGCATCCTCGTAATGTCCAACAAACTGGCTCGACTCTCTCGCCCATTCTGATACAGATGGTACGTGGCGACGTGACTGAAAGTTTGGATTGTGGTCGAAAATATAGCGGTATACTTCGGTCAATGGGTAACCGTCTTTGGGAGGCGAATCCCCTCTATTGATTCTATCTTCCAAAAGCTCTATCTCGTGCTTCCTCGAAGTTCCGACGTCAACCTCTACATCGTCTTGATCTTCTTCATCTGGCTCTACCTCGCCCAAATCAGTTTCGTCTCCACGATCTTGGTTGCTATTGTTCGTCCGGCCGCCTTTGTTGTTTTCTCTATCACTTTTTCGCCAGGGCTTAGCCGCCGAATCCCGTAGCTTTGTCTCTTGCTTATCTCGATCTTCGTTCCAACGCTTCATCTCTTTTTTGAGCCACAAGGACTGGAATTCTGAGAGTCCGCAAAGAAAGAAGTAGCACTCGATGAAGCTGTCAAAGTCTTTGAGCTCGAATATGTCGTTCACCGGTCGTACAACCTACATAAAATGAGCACATATTAAAAGAGCACAAGATAATACGCACTACTGTATCGTTCTCCCAAATCGAGACATAAAACTGAAGTTTATTGTCGTTAAGGGTAGCGCCAAATACCGGTCCGTCCGTGAAACTGAGAGCCCGCCGGTGCAGCTGGCCCGAGAACATGGTAAGTTGGGCTTCACGAGACCCAACTTTGGGGTCGTCCACTTTTGCCTCGAAACCTAATGTGACAATCGATGCTGGCAACTTCGTCAATTTCTGACACCATGCCCATGAGAACACGTGTTGATTACAAAGTCGCCCCATGAGTTTTGTCCACTCCCTCGGCAGGGTTAGTGATGCGACAGCACCGGCTTTAACAGTATCCGGGTGGCCTGGCAGAACCATATCTACCTCACCCCTAGATAATAATGTAAATTTAAATGTACAGCATGTAAAATCAGTAATGCAGAGCTATAAGCACCTCCATATCATGGTCGGCCCTGGGACGACTTTGAAACGCAAGCTCAATTAAAATATCTGCGCCTTGGCGATTTGACGCTTCGTTTATCCCTGGTTCAGCGTGGATTAAAGCAGTCTTCCAAGCATAAAGAAGAATTGGTAGTGACATCGCAAATTGATATTTGTCACCAAGCTCGACCTTGTCGCTATTCAGCCGATCGCGCCAACTACTAAACTCGCGTTGAACTTGTTCACCATTTGGAAAGTGATGTAGCCAGGAATTAACTATACGCATTACCTAGTAGGCCTGTTAATTCCTGTATGTACGTATGTGTATGTGTTTGGGGGGGGGGGAGGGGTAGAATATTGATGCCTTACGCCTTCCTCCAGAATAAAGCTCGGGTATTTGAGTGACTTCATGAAATTATTGAATTCATCATCCTTCCAATCTTCTTCAATAAAGCGAATCTTATGGAGAGTGGCCCGTTCCTCCCAAGTTTTCAGCGTACGACAAAGTCTAGTGATACGGATGAGACCCTTGAAGTCACAGAAAACGGGATACTTACACGGAAGCAGAAAGAGAAGAAACACGACTCGATGCTCTGGAGACGATTGTGCGTAAGCAGCTTGACGGGGTAGAAAGTATATCAATCTTACCTGGTCTTCACGGAAGCCTTACTGCGTAGTTTCTGTGCGTGTTGATTGTCACGAGTGGAACGTGGTGGTTCACTACTAGAACGATCGGTCGTATTTATTAGTACGCACTACATCGAGACAGAGAGAAGAGACGTACGAGTCGAGATTTGATGATGTACTGAATCCTGAGTACTTTGGTACTATGGCGAAAGAAATGCAAGAAACTCACCCTCAGCCGCGGCAGAATTCATAGTGTCTGATAGACATTGTGGCCTGTGATGGTGGCTTGAAGACTTATTTAGAAGATAGACACAACACGCGAAATTGAAATTCGGCGCATTCCGATTACTCACGTGACTACTCAATATCCCGACAAGGACCTGTTTTTCTCTGATAAATGATATAGTACTTAGGGTATAGTGTTTGAAAACAGATAGTATGGCAGTATTTATAAGTTATGGACGAAAGTGCGGGCTGTACATTTACTCTTAAAGTCGAAGATTCACGAAATGCAGAAATGTGGCAAGCGAAGCCAGCAAGAGCGCTAAAAAAGATGCCTGAATTAAAAACCTGACATATTTAAACGAGAAATCTTACCCCAAAGCCCGAAGAACTAAATGAAGAAATAATAAATCAGACATACGCTATACGGTATAATGTATAGTGATATAATTGATTGAGTTCATTTAGTACAACACACAAGCTACATTGTGCAAGTATTTCCACTCATTGTAAGTGTATTGCATTGGGAAAAAGTCTAAATTCTTGTACTACCTTATAATGGTATAAAATAAGTGAAAAAAGTAAAAAAGTAAAAACACTTGGAACGGATCTCGGTTTCTGAGAAAGTACTACAATTCATTATAAAGTCTGAAAGGTTTGTGTAATTTGTAAACATAAATAAGAGTTATTCTCCTTGACAATATATAAAATGTATTACAATGGATCTCTAAAATTACAAGGTTAAATCACTCTTGTTAATTATGGCAAATATTATAATTGTTTATAAAGCTCTTAAATCATTTTAATATCTTAATAATATTTATTTTCCCTTATATCTGTTTGTTATTGAAATAACAGTTTATAATTATATTAAAACATTATATAAATACATTATAATCTACAACAATTAGGGGTGAGACAGGTTGTGAGATTGATTGGCTAAGAGTGTGGGTGTGAGCATTGTCAGCATGAGTAGGTAACTGGATTGAGGAGATAGATACACTGTAATAGTGTGTAGTGAGTGAGTAGTGTACTAGGGAGTATTGAATGAGCTAATTTGAGCTGTAGGCAAGTCACATCTGTATGTGCACACTGCATACTCTGACTACATCTTACAATCAGAGTGACAGTAACTGAACTGTGACTGAG